TTGGGCGGAGGAACATATTTCATTTTAAAAAAAATTATACAACAGCTATCTGAAGCCTTAGGGATCGAATGGGCATGGCACACCCCATGGCATCCTCGGAGTTCTGGAAGAGGAGAAAGAATGAATCAAACTTCAAAACAAACCTTGACTAAGATAATGATTGAGACTCAGATGTCTTGGATTAAATGCCTGCCGTTGGCCTTATTAAGGATCAATACTCAGCCACGAACAGACCTGGGAATTTCTCCCTATGAAATGATGTTTGGATTACTATGTATGAGTAATGACAGGGATATTGTCATCCCTGAAGTAGGAGATCAGTATGTAAGAAAGTATGTAATAAGAATTGGTAACACTTTAATGAAGCTAAGAAAGAAAGGACTTCTGCCTCAAATACCACCATTGGCTTTTAAATATCCACAATGTAAAACCAGGTGATTGGGTATTGATAAAAGTGTGGAAAGATTAATCATTAACTCCCGAGTGGGAAGGTCCATTTCAGGTGCTGCTGATCACCGAGACAGCGATCCGAACAAAAGAAAAGGGGTGGACTCTTGCCTCCTGAGGAGAAGGACCGGTGGAAAAGCCTCAGGAGTGGACTGTGGTACCATCAACTGACCAACTACAAGTCACCCTCAAAGGACTAAGTAAATTCATCAGGAGGGGATTGAATGACTCTTAACCAGTGGTTTGACTGGGTTTTTGACTGGGTTCAGAGGTAACACTGTGAAAATTTACTTATTCATTTACTTACTTGCTGTATAAGGAAACAAAAACAAAAAAAACAGACAAAACCAAACAAAAAAACTGTCAGGGAAAAGCTGGCGTTTACCGAGCATTAACCGACAGACATGTTACAGAGTGGCTTTTGGTAACAGATTATGAGCATTTTGGATTCAATTAGGCATTGCTAGAAAATCAACCTAATAGGGTAATACCTTGTCTCGAGTGTATGTATGGATGTCATGAAGCGTGGGTTTTGTGTGAATGTGAAATGTGTTACCGGATGTGGTATTTCTTGCAGATGGAGAAAATTGTCTTATAACTGTATAGGGAAGGGGCATGAACTGTAACCTTGATTTACGGGGAAAAAGAGGTTAGTCCCCAGAATTTGTGATGTCCCTGAGAGTTGATGGGAGGACACTATCGGAAAGTGCCAAAATTTTGCTTTGCTTAGAAACAAAGGAAGTGGCTACAAAGGAGCTGCACTTGAATTGACTAACTCTTAACACACGGATTTGTTAAACAGTAGAGGGCAAGACCGGGTTAACCTCTGTGCTCGCCACCAAGAAGACCTTTTTCTCAGCTGTGGGCTGCAACCCCATAGGCATGAGAGGTGGGAGTATATGTTATACCGGACCTCTGCTAATCATCCTGGTATGGTTTGCTTTAATAGTGGCAATTTGTGCAGCAAGTGCTTTACTGTTATGTCCAACATCAGAGTGGCTTTGCTTTCCCAAAGACAGAAGGGTGGATGGAGATATTTTAGTAGGAAGAAGAGAATCCAAGTAAAAGATGTGACAGAAGTAAAACAGCCAGTACCAAAACCACCGAAAAGACCTATAACAGAATTTTCAACATGGTTAACCAAAGGAGATGGTGGTTTACATAAGCAGATACAACTACATGGGTACTTGAAAGAGGAACATTTACAAGGGCAAAAGATATGTAGTAAAAAGGCAAACAAAGTGAGGGCTACCAACATCAAGGCTGCACAATAAATTGCTGCCCATGCATAAGCACGCTCCATTGTTTTCGTGGTATCGGAGGTACAAGAGTGAGAGCGCAAGTGGTGAACCTGCCTGGTCTGTAGGGATCAGGAGTCAGGGTCCACATACGCAGCAGGAAAATGGATTTCCACGCCCCCAGTCCAAAGCGCATGTGTTGTTGGAGGGTCTCGAAAGTTCGGCTATACCCGGATGGCAAAAACAACTGCCAGGCCCGCCCAGATCTAGGCAGCACAGGCATTCTGGGTGGAAGAGAAACTTCCGCTCATTGCGCACTTGGACCTTCCTCGGTCAAGCCGCTAGCCTGGGGCTGGACTATCCCACTAATCTTACTGATCCCACTGGATTGCAATCTTGGGAAGATGGGAGTAGGGGACGATCCCGTGTGCGCCGGCCTGCTGTTGGGATTTTTCATTATATTGGTGGTGACTGTCGTTGCCATCGCGGTATGCGAGGGAATGTCTCGTGGCTGGTGTCGGAGATCACCTCCTCCCCCCAATCCTCCAAGATCACGAAGACAACTAAGACGCCCTCGAAACCTTGATGAGGTGATGGAAACAGACTTATAGTTCAAAGAAGAAAATGTTATTGATCAGAGGAGTTACCACGCAGCGCGTGACTGTTGTTCTTGGACTCTTTCTATCTTTCTATCGCTATCGCCCCGTGAGTAAGGGTAACAAGACATCGAAGGACAACATCCAAAGGACAGTGCTGATATCTTTGGTTCTTACTTTTTCTCTTTCTGATTGTGTCGCGTGGGACTTTGCTGGATTGTTATACAGTTAATTATTTCAGGTTCTTGTTTGCTAATAAATTGTTGATTATTGTTTACAGAGTGTCTGATAGTACGGTTGACTGTGCAGTTCGGCACACAGCTCGAATGTGCTTAACACCAACAGGTGAAACAGTAGTAGCAAATTGCATGTTGGTCACAACTTGTTGGATTAACTGAACAAAGCAAGGAATAAATAACACACGGCAAAAACATTAAGGCGACAACTGCACATAGCAGATAGAATAAGAGCTGTTTTACCTATGGTGCTCTGAAAACACCCTCAATGTTAGACTCAGAATGGTGGGATGATCTATTAGGAGCTTCCTGGTGGAAAAGATTGTTGTGAATGCGTTATGCCACGTGAAAACTATGATTGTAATTGTAAGGTATTATCTTGAGAGTGTTATGATAAATGTTGGAATTGTGGAAAAAGGTTTGTTTGCAGTGACGAAAATGAAAGTAGCATCTAATAAACAATAATAGGATAAAAGAAAAAGGGGGGATTGTAAGAAACTATGAACTAAGGGTATTGTTTATTGAAATTTATGTTAAGCTCAATGTAAAGGTTAGGCGGCAAAAGACAAAAAAACTGCTTATGCAAATAGCTGCCAGACACCACTTGTGTGAGACAAGATAACCTGTGAGACAAGATGACTGCGTGAGATAAGATAACCGCAATTGCTTACACAAACCAGATACTTGTGCAAGCAGAAGGGGGTACTGATCAAAGACAACCACGAATGTAAAAATGTATAAAAAGGAACTGTTTGAACTGATCAGTACGGCAGTTGGCGGAGCGCAGACTCCCCTGTCGTCCAGCGCTGTCTTTGCTCATATTCTACTTGCTATAATTAATAAAATTATAATTGGATTATGATCCATTGTGGTCTCAATTTATAACAAAGCTTATCAATGTCTTTATGCAACACACAACTTCTCAGGCTGCCTTCTGAACTAAAGAAAAAAAATTAACAGAACAATGTGAGGAGAGTCAGACCACTCAGGTATTTCACAAATAGGAAGCAACATAAGATTACAGAATAACAGCTTTATCCTCATCAAGAGACAGTCACAGTCAGCTCCTGACTTCACAAATGCCACAGTTCTGCACAGAGGAGCCACCCGAACGCCAAGAGAGCAAGAGGCTGTGTACACTGTTCATAGCACACCAACGCATTTAACCAAATCCTATACCATGCATACACAGCTACAGGAAAGCTTAATTGCATGTCTTGCAAGTACATTATGTTCCTTGACTGCTCTCCCACCAGCTGCTTTCATGTCAGATAACTTTCTCCCAGAAAGTTATATACTCAGAATTCACAGCTACACTCTTCTCATTCACAAAAGGTCTTACAATCACTCTGCATTTCCATGATAACCTGAGAACCGACTGTTCTCAGCAGGTTTGGTATATCACAAGATTCATATGCTTTTTCTGGATCAGGTCATTAATCATTTGCTCTGTGACTAATTCTTCTAAAAATCAATGTAAGGCACACGTCAAAGCAAAGTCATTTCTCTCTCTCTCCAGATGTTTCCCTAATGCACAGCCTAGTATAGCTACAGTATGACTAAGAAGTAGGAAAAAGCTTCTTATCTTCTGTTCTTATCTTCAAAATGATCCAATCAGTAAAGCTGAACCAAAAGAAAATACTGAAGAGAAGCAAGAAGTGAACTGAAAAGGACATCTTGCCTTTTATGATAACAAAAAAAAAAATACATTGCACTGCTTGCTTTGTAAATTTTACAGAAAAACTCCTCCTTAGCTCAGGCTGCCTATTCCTTAAAAAACAAAGACAAGCAGAACTAGCTGCAGGCAATGAAGTATATTAGCATTTGAATTCATGCTTGCATATCCTCTCAAGGCAAAACTCTCTTAAAAGCAACCTAAGGAACTTCCTCAAATGTATTCTGGCAACAATTATTTGAGACTTGAAGATTTCTGATGTCTTTATAGCTCCTTAAGAACAAACTGGGAAATGTTTAAAAAAACTCCCACAGCCTGCTGTCAATTTCGAAACAGGATGTTTTTGTTGTTGATGACTGTAATTAGGACCAGTGACCTTGAAAACATAAACAACCCATCCACATTACCTCTTCTCTTCTAATTATTATGAAGAGAAAAAAAACATATTTGCTTGGCTGTATGAGTAGTTCAGCACTCATACTCAGGCAAAGACCAGAACTTCCACAGGACTGAAAATACTAGCTAGGATGTCACCAGCTAGTTGAAAGGAAAAGGAAGTGGGAAGGAGGAAAGTAGTCAGTATATGACTAGTGATTTAAAATCAAGGTGGCTGTTATCAGTGCACAGAAAAAGCAAGACAGAAAAGGCACCCCTACAAGAAATGCTTTACAAGTATTGCTGAAGAAAAGACCCACTGTCAGGAGATAACCTTGGAAAGTACCTGAACTCCTGAGATAACAAAGAGAAAGTTCTACAGCTTTCCCAACACCTAATCCTGCAGTCAGAAACCTGACCCCTGAGCCCTTACCTTCTGATGTCCAAATTCATTCAATATTGTGCCCAGCTTCTTCGTGTTGCTGTGAAGTTTATGCGCAGCAATGGCTGGATTGGGATCCCTCCAGTCAATGGACAGGCGATGATACCAGAGGTGCCGACCCTCCTGAATGTGTGCTGACTTGATGCTGGGATCAAAGCGATGCACCTCACATCCATTGTTGGCCATGCTGATCTCAAACTGATTGTCATCATTGCCTAGCCTATGAAACAAAAAAGATGTAACTATTCATGCTGCAACAAGAAGCATTAGTGAGTAGGCCATTCTGAGGATGCATAGTAAAAGAGGATAAAATCCAACATATTTGTTTCTGAAGCAAAGTGGAGGAGCTGTTGTGCTCCTTCTTGGGATATATCCACAGCACTGAGCACAATCTAACCCTAATTCTGACAAGATAACCAGAAATAAAGCTAAGGGTCCACAATAATATCTGCTGAAGATTTGGAATAAGTAGTTAGGTAAAGGAAATTTAAAGAAGCGTGTGTTTTTTCCCAATGTCACATTCATAATTGACCTTAAGAAACCTTTAATGAAATTTTTCACTTGTAGAATGAAATTACTGGAGTGGATTGGATTAACTAACCTCACCAGAAAATTCAAGCTCAATACAATATACTGCATACAATTAGAATGGAGTCCTTTCAAGGCAAGAACTAAACCACTTTTAGCCAGGCTGTGAACCTTCCCAAAGAACTTTTTCTTAATTCAGAAGTTGACATAATTTATAAGAAAGTAAATTAAACGCTTGAACCTTTGTGCTGTCATTATTCCTCTATTCATATATTTATGTATATTCCTCTATTTTCAGTTTGCTTTTTCTTGACAAGATCACAATACTTCCCCTAGTTCCCACAGCACAAGCTTCCAATAACCAAGCCATAAACAGAAAAGCAAATACATTTAAAATTTATACAATCTTGTTTTGTAAAAATAAGGCATATTTCCTACCATGTCTATTATCTGGTGTTACAAAGATGAGCCACAATGGCCACCAACAGGGACAAGACACCTCTCTTTCTCTATGCACCGGAAGACACGGATAAAAAAAGCAAATTTAAAAATAACCCCTTCACGACAGTAGCAGAGTTTTTACACAGACTTAAGATTGATGCTAACTTGGCAAAGACCCCAAAGAACAAGAAAAATTAATAGCCCCATTGTACAGCAGTGTTGTCTCAGTCCCTGTTTCTACAAGGAGATGATGTACTTTACAAGGCTGTGCCGTATTCCCACCTCCTACAGAGCATTGGTTCACAAAGGGTACACTAAAACTAAAAAAATTGGGTATTTACCATTGCAATCACATGGCTGGACCACAGGCTGTCCCTACTGCGTAAAATAAGATGTCCTCTTCATTCCTACTCCTCCAAACTCGTTCCAAACGTGGTTCAAATCACGCACTAAACTTTAATCAAAATTATGCTGTTGGATATATACACATGTAGCGCTGGGAGGAGAATCAAGATTTTTAAATCAGCACTTCAGCCAGTTGTACTTACTGAGAATATCCACAATGTACTAACAGCACAGCATTTATCTAACCATTACAGGGCAGTACTCTTAGATGCACTGTCAGAGCATCTGCTACACTACACCACAATAATCCTTAGAAGTGGTGTGAGTCTGAAACAGTTCTGGCTATTTGCATCAATATGTAAAACACAATACATCTTAAATTATGCTATACTATGTTATGATGTTAAGTCAGCACTAAATGTTTTACATAGATGACGTACTGGTAAACTAAAATGAATCCAACTTGTGAAACAATATTTGGAAAAGCATATGTTTTGGAAATTACCAGTACAGTATGATGCTTGCTGTAATACCAGCAAAGCACAGTGTAAAGATGCTCCATTAGAAGGTCGTCTCCTCAGCCATCTTCCCCTTCAGGCATACTGGGAAAGTAGGAGGAGACAGGGTTTGCAAAAACAGCCCAGCATGCTTTTAAGAACAACTCTTTTTCACAAGACTCCAGCCCATATAGCCGTGTAGGAGGAAAAGAGAGGAATTTTCTTTCAATACATTCAACACACAGTAGGAAAAAAGTTCAGAAGTTAACCAAGTGAATTGACATATTTGTTTCCGTGTCGCCTTCTAAAGAAGGGACACTGAAGAATAAAGACCAGTGTAATCCCTCAGGAATGAGAAGCTGGCTAAAAATGAACAACATGCGAGTTGTTGGGGACGGTTACAGCATTAGAGTGATGAGCCTACCAGTGACCGACGGACACATGTGTCTGTGACACACTTCTAACAGAACCAGCTGGTACAATCCAGCGGGCCAGATGCTTTTGATGTAGACAAGCCTCGGGCTGCCTCCAAACAGATTGCTACTCATGTGGATGGCAAATGGAAGTTCACAGTGGTGCAAAACAAAACAAAAAAAAAAATATATAGATGAGGATGAAGAAGGTGCTGATATATCTTCTGGCACTCTAGATAACAGCTCAAATTTATTCCTGAAGATCTAACCAACAACAAATACTTAGGAGAGAAAATAAGGTCACCTCCAAAAGAACTGGTTTGAAAGACTCCCGGCTCACATATGATCACACTAAGGGTTAACACAGTATGAAAAAAGGTAAACAAGTGAGGTCTCCTAAGACAGATTTTATGTTACTTAAAAAGGGACCATGATTTAAAAAGAAGGGTGTGGAGGTCACAGGAGACTAGAGAGGCCCTTCCCCACCAACAGCAAAATCAAAATTGCTACAGACACCGACTTATTTTTGCCGTAAAAGAGAAGAGAGCTCGGTTACCGAGTCGGCAGCTGCAGGCAGCCCTCCGCGGCGGGGTCGTGGGGGGCTTGCAAAGCGGCAGCAACAGCGCCCGTGGGCCTGGCCGTCCCAGCCGGTGAGCCAGGGGAGGGGAATGGCTCACTGGCACTGCTCCCTGCCGGCCACTGGCCCCGCACGGAGCGCAGAGCAGCAGGCAGAGGTGTCCCTCGGCTGTCCCCCGCTGCCAGGGTTCGCAGAGGGTCACGCTGCACAGGGCCCCGTGCTCGGGACAAACACTAGGCCGCAGCCTGAGCTGAAAGCAGCATCACGCCGGCCCCCCGTCACGTTCTGGGGGGGCGGCGAGAGCGCAGGTGGCACAAAAGCTGCTTTGTTTCCCCCAGTACAGCTCTGCTGGATGCCCGTAGCTGATCCAGCCCACTAACTGCAGGTACTGCAGCTCCCACAGGGAGCACGGGGTAAAGCTGTGAAAGCATTCATGTTAAGGTCCAGCCTTCCCTCTCTGTGTTCCCCTTCCTCCCATTCTTTCCCAAAGGTACACAACCCAGCTCTGCAGCTCAGGGAAAAAGCAACATCCCCTGCCTGGATCCTAAAGCCCCTACACTTTAAGATCCACCTGAAAGGGCTTTTATACAGTATTGCAGTGAGCCTCCTTAAACCTCAACTGGTAAACTTCTAAAATCCTGTTCATTTATATTATCCCAGCTTGAGTGCCTGCCTGTGGTGTTTGTAACAGATTTAGCTTAATCTAAACAGATTTAGCACTAATAACTAGAGCTCACTAATGCATATTGCAATTATGTATCATACTGGGAAATCCTATCCCCCAAAACAAAAACACTGCTGACTCCCAATAGTGAAAGTAAATAATACTAATCTAAAAAGATCTCCAGACGTTTCAGACACTGCTTGCTCCCATTCACAAGTAACCTCTTCTATAGCATTCAAGAAGGCAAAGCCTAAGCAGCATGTTTTGTTCCATTTTTAGTGATATATGGATTTAATTCAGGATTCCCAGTAACACTCACACTGAACTTCCACATTTGTCCTCCATCTATCCTCTCCACAGAGGACATTCTTCATTGGAAGCAGCTGCTCCCCCTTTGCTTTTTATGAAGTGTATGGGTTAACAAAAATGTTTAAAGGGGATTTTTGTCTTAATGAGAACAAAATTACTTTTCTGCCTGTCATAAACTAAAGACAGTGAGTCTGAGAGAAGAATTAAGCAGTAATGAGCTCCAAAGGCTGCAGAAATAAACTGGAGGATTGAAGACCGCTTCTCCTTAACTTCAAATATTTCCCTTTTATTTTTTAGCTGTTTCATGTGATGCATCATAGTTGGGTATTTACTGCACATGTGTATCTGATGACTGATAGGAGAGTCAACATCAATTTCAATCTCTGCTAAACCCTAGTGTTCCACCAGGACAGAAAATCTGGCATTAAGGCTCCCTGTACCATACCCAAAACAGCACCACATATAAAGCACCAGTACACATGCACTAGCTCAGATTTGTTCAAAATCATTAGCAAGTTACCTTTGTGCTGGTCAGCTTCATGCCAAATCTGCATTTCCTAGCACAGATGAAATCAACTCTGCGCTGTGTCTACTGGCCAATTCAACAAAAATACCATTCTTAACACACGCTCAGTCCATAGCAAAAGAGGGACATTAATAGAAGAGCTCAGGTCTAATATTAATGATCATGTAACTTGAAGGGCAAGGTCTAGATTAGTTCCACTGAACTTCGAGTACTTTGCCAAGACACCTAAAGCCAGCAGCCATGTTATCCCAGACTTCCTCTGTAATCAAAGGAAAGCCATACCTACCTCCAGAATGGTATACAGCTTAGCTGTTTTTCCACCCGGATGTGCCTGCCTCTCTGCTACTAGGAGCCTCAGGCAATGAGCCAGTATTACAGTCAAGCAGGTAAAGTCTGGACCTGAGGACAGGATAACACAGCATCTCTCCTAACTTTCATAGGAACACGAAAAACTGAGAAAAAAAATTATGTAAAACTACATTCTCCATTAAAACTAGGTAAGTATAACTTGAACCCAATTGCAAAGAACATTCAGAAAATAAGAACCAACAGTAGCCAAGAAGAGTTTGCTCTCTGTATATGTGACTCATCTCTAAGAGGCATATTGTTGTTTTGTCACAGAGCAATGCAGCTGAACAAAACCTGAGAGCCCCCCACCTTCTGAGGAGTTTGGTCTTTACAGCTCAATATAAACTGGATCCAAACGTAAGCCCCCCCAAATTAACAGAAGGCACTCCCTTTGACTTCAGTGCACTCTGTATCCACTTTACATTAATTGCTGGTGTTAACTGTCATATGCTAATCACTGAGACGCATCACCCAGACACAGTTCCTTGCTATCCACCATTTGTAAACCCACAGTAGCAAAATCACAGCAATAAACTGTGCTGGTTCAAAGGAGATGAAGCCTTTCAATACACCTGTACCTTAAAGCTGGCTCCCAGGACAGCAGATACAGTTTTATTAGGCTGCAGCCACGTGGTGATCTGTGTGAAACGAGCTCCAGATCCCAGCAATCATTCTCTTAATGCACCTGTGCCCTAATGGGTAATGCAAAAGGCCAGTGGCCTGAACAACTCCAGACTGACCTCTTTTGTCCTCCCGGGAAGCAGAGTGTTTTATTAGTAGGGAAACAGGCTGCACTTGTGGTTTTACTATCTGTGAAAGCACTTGTTCTATGAGGAGTGAAAACTTCAACCTGAAGTGCTGTAAACATCATAAACACTACAAACATTTAAAAATAAAGCCACAACTGCCTTTATCACTATCACTTCAGTACGTCACCCCTGAAGTGCTTAGGAAACACGCTCTCATATGGAAATGTACTGTTCTGTCCCAGGAGTAGTTAATGAAGTTTTATAACTAATGCTGCTGAAGTACCTGGCAATTATGCAAGTCATTTCTTTTCTGGGGAGATGTTGTAGGCTTCTCAGTTTATCTCACTGATTTCCATCTTCCTCTATGTGAACTACCTCTCACTACTCACCATTAAGCAATTTGTTTTCCTTTGCTTTTCTAATATCAGTATGAAAACAAAGACCCTTATGGAGAAAGGTTTTTCCCTAAAAAACGGGTTTAGAGATGCACATCACCACCTAACAAACACATCCAAACAAAGCCTGCATTTTAAAAGACAACCTTGTTGCAGCCTGTGTTGCTACTATAGGGCTGTCTGAAGCTAGGTGTCATGAAACAATTTGCTGTCTTTTAAAGAGAGCACTTACCCAAGGGAATAGAGACGGCATCGCTTGCTTCTGATTTGATGAATGAGGCTAAACCTTTCATCAAGACAGACAGACCAGGGCTTCTTTGCGGTTTCAGAGTACCCTTTCAGGCTGTTCAGGTTCACGTGTTCACATGCAATCTGGTGAAATCAAAGGATGATTCATTTTAAGACATGACTTTTAATTTGTTTTTAATTTGCCTTCCGGGGAAAGAGTGGAAAGAAGAAAAATGTTAATTGGTTTCATTTAAATCTGATTGTCAATCTGATACACATCTATGGAGATCAGATTTTTTTTTTTTCCTTGTTCGTCTGTTCTGCTTGGTGAAATGTAAGGCTTACATAATCCCCCAGGGAGCAATGCAGTTTGAAAAGCAAATAATTACGCATTAGTACTATACCCAAAAATCAGTTTTACAGAGAACAGGTTATTTCAACATCAAAATGTTCAATTTTTTTTATTTATTTTCAAACCTTGGGGTGGATCCTGCATCCTGAATAATGTTAAAATCATGTCATGATTCAAGACTCCAATTACAAGTTGCAGTGTCATAGCAATGTACACCGTATACCTTACCTAGAGCCTCCTGGATCTCAGTTCCAGAGGGGATTTAATCATTACCACAACACATTCCCTCTCCAACAACAAAGGGATTTAAGCAAGTGCTTAACTAAACAGAGGAATTGTATCACGTGTGTCTATGCTGTACTGGTTTAGACGTCTAGGATCTAAAGCCAGGATAAAAACACTGCAAAAGGAAAAAAGATAGAGACCCTGCAGGGAGGAACACTGTAAGTCCAAGTTCTTGTAAAAACCAAGAAAGCACAGACTAAAACGTGCTGGATTCATCAGAAACCTGGAAGTGTCAAAAAAAATCACTTCACTGAGAGATGAAGTCAGCTTTGCCAGCAGCTGAGCAGCAGCCTGCAACAGCCAAAACACAGCAGTGACTGAGCCAACAAAACTATGGCCCTGTGAGTGACACACCACAGAGGAGCTCAGGTCACCGTTTCAGCTCCAGGCTCTGCCACACTGTTCTGCACCACCCTCTTCCTCCAGACCCACACTGGAAAAAAGCATGGAGCTGGGGGGTGCTGCAGCCTTTCCAGCATTCAGGAGCCAGGGCAATTTGTACGGCTGTCCATAGCAGTGGTAAGGAGGTAACAGGAAGCAGGAGTAAGCACCAAAGCTGTGCCCAAGAGAGGTGGTGCTGCTCTGCACCAGCAGCAGCTTACACATGGTTGTGAAAGGGCTTTTCAAACCACATGCAGCCCAGACATCAAATTTAGGGGTTGCAGGGCACAGGCTGTTCACACGCAGACGGGAAAGCAAAGACTGAGAAGAGTTGCAGCAACCCAGCCGAGCCATCGTGATGGAAAGTTGTTCTTTGTGGGCCCAGTACCAACCCTGGCTGCAGGGATAGGAGCTGGCACTGCCAGAAAGCCAGGAATAAAAAAGGTGGAAAGAACAGGAGTAGAGACAAAAACAGATTAAACATCAGTCCTGAACCGACTGTTCTCATCTTGCTCCTTCATTCCTCTACAGCAGACTGCCCAAGCTCAGCTCCTGGTTTTAGCCAACTAAAAAGCACAGTTCTGGCCCCACCTAGAACCACAGAAATTGAATAATTTTACACAGTGGTGAGAGAGAACTGGAACTCAGTCTTTGCTGTGGTAGGCACTCATCCACCACGTGCCTTATAATAAGTAAATAAAACTCTAATTGTTTAAGAAGCTTAAGCTCTGAAAGGTCATTATCTGAAGCATTACAACCAAAGAGCTGCATGCTGCATCACATCCTCCCTGCTCCTGCTCAGCTCATAATTCCCTTATGTGAGAAACAAGCCCACGTATATATAAAAAAAGTTTTATTGGGGACAAAGTCAGTGGAGCAAAGAATACAGGGCTGGGCGCAATGGCACGCCCTCTGGAGCCAAAGCGGCTCCCTTCTATTGTATAAAAGGTAATATATTCATCTACCCTAATACATATGCATCACTACTCCAAGGATAGGGAGGGAATATTACAATTAGTTCTGAGGAATCATTAACATATCCCCCCACCCCAAATTCCTCCCGTCGCGCTTGCGCAGTGCTCCCTGGTGGTCGTGGGCAGGGGTCTGCAGATGAAGGCTCGTAGTCTTCTTCACTGTGTTCGCTCGTTGACCCTTATTTCTGCGCAAACTCAGTCCTGTGGTCAGGTACACCTTGTCCTTCAGGTCTGGGCTAATTTGCAGCCCTTTATGGCTCAGTGGTTTCAGTTCCTCTCTTATCTCAAGGACAAGAGATACCAGGGATGGCCCATCCTGTTCTTTCTCATTCCATTGCAAAGGAGTCACCGCCCTTTGATATGGACCATCTGGTGAGCATCCCAAAGGAAAAAGGGGGGGCTGTTGGGTTGTTGTTTCCTCTGATGAATCCCCCCTCCCTTCTCTTTTCCCAGTAGTAAATTATTTTACTTTTCTTAAAATTTGTATCATTGTACTAATAATAGCTTCAGCTTAATTCAATAAAAGTAATTGTTTAATTGCTTTTAGCTAAAGCAAAATTCTTGTATTATTTATCATACCTTAGAAAATTCATGAAAGCTAATATAGCACCTCTTCATGCTGCTCTCAGGATTCACTAAATTTTAAGCAATGATTTGCACTGCACCCCACCATCCATTTCCCTTCAGTCACATAATAATCAAGGAATAAATGGCATTGCAATAACAAGCACTAATTTTAAGGCACAGAAGAATAATGTGCCTTCTACAGAAAAGTAAGATTCTGCAGTGCTGCCACTTAATTGACTCATGGTCTTATGAGCAATTACAACACTCAACATTTGGAGAAATTTAAATAGCTCCTGATACTTAATAGCTGTTACTATAAAAAATAAAAAACTGAACTCTGCCTTTAGCAACATCACCAGTCCGCTGTGTGATTTATAAACCCTGATGCACTGAGCTCATGTCCTCCTGTTCTGGGCTTCTACTTGCTACAATCATACAAACGACAGCTCATGTGGGATGGTTCTTCTGATCATTAGATACCATCATTGAAAAAGCTTGTTCTGGCTACACCTCACCCCTGCTGACATGGCATCTTTCTCCTCCATCAGTTTGAGGCTCTCTACACTAATGGCAGGGAGCTGAACTCAGGTACAGCTCATTAGTAGATGCTTGCTCAGCAAACAAGGAAAATGAGATCTCATGCTGTAGAGCATTTGCCAGGTCAGGAACAAGGATTTCTCTCATTTTATATCTTCACTTCTGCTTGTCTCTCCCACAAGGGTCAGTTACTCTGGGAACAAAACTTCTAGATTAGTATGTCAGAAGCAATAAAATCCCTGCTAATTGATGTTCTTGTACACTCTGACCCAACTAGTAGAGTTTAGCAGCATCTGCCACTGTTTATTAAGTCACCAAGATGAAGGATGTTTTCAGTTTAATATGCCTGCCTCAGCCTGAACTTCTGTACAACAAAACAAGCAGCTCTACACATATCTCTTGCTCTCTCCAGATGCATTACCTTGCCTCCTGCCCTCTCAGAGCTGGCATGAGGGGAGGCAGATATCATCTTGAGCATTTAGCCAGCTGGAAGATAAGTGAGCACTCTGCTACTCTCCCTGTTACCACACCATCAGCACATCAGCATACTTTTAGTTGTATTTCAAATGAATCTCATCTCAGCCTTGAAAGCATTGCATTAGCAAAAAAAAAAAAAAAAAAAAAGTGAATGACATTTCAGTGACATTAACAACTGAGGCTTTCTGCTGTTCTCCAGTGTAAACAATGGTGTAGTTAAATCTGTATTCAAGGGTCAGATGCTGATAGACCTGGGTACCGAAAGCAGCTGCCCTGTCAGAACTGTAGGCATCCAGCACCCTTCCTATTTTTTATTATGGAAAATGCATGTGTAAATGCTGTTATGAAGAAGTGATACCTCCATTAAGACACGACATCCCAATTCCATATGTGCTGAACCCTGGAAGTACCTGTCAACACAATCTGGATTTAGAAATGTCATCCTTGAAAAAGCACATAAAACCACTCATTTTCCACACCATCATTTTTGTGCTGAAAGTATCAGGATTCAATTGGCACTATTGGGACAACTTGTCCAAGTTAGGGACTGATGCCTTGTTCTCATTTTACTGGGAACTTCAAATGCATCCTTTCAGCTAGAATGAGCCTCATTACCCCATTATTATTGAGAAGTGGAGTGACTGAAAATACACACGTTGTCTCCTTATGGAGTGCTCTGTATTTTGATGTGTCAGAGAGAACAAGAGAGAGCAGGAGAGTAACTGCTTCTGGAATTTCAGCCGTATCATACTCTTGTCAGGACATGAACCCATCAGGAAATAATGCATTCTTTCTACCCCGTGTTTTGACCTTTAGAAAAAAAGCAGTTTCAAAACCAGTTTGGTGTGAGGTTAATTCCTTATCTGACACAGAACAGCCTGTGCCAGGCAAACTGTTTTCTAAATGGAGACAGAAATAAAATACCTACCTGAGAAGTGCTAATGTACTTCAGGAACCTCAAGGCCTCATAGCTGAGGGAAGGAGTTGGACTTGCCCATGGTTGTAGTTCAATGTGCCATCTTATAGTCTGCAAAGCAAAACAAATCATAAAACACCTTAAAAGAACTGCATTAACTTCTGTTGTGGTTTAGGCCTGATTGGCAGTCAACCACAATGCAGCAGCTCTCTCTCCCTTCCCCTCCGGCAATGAGAAGGGACAGAGAGCCAGGCTTGGGGTTCGAGATAGGACTGGGATGGGGGAAAATCCCCCTTTATGATCACGAGCAAAAGGCAGACTCGTTAGGGGAAGAAAAAAAGAACATACATTTATTACAGACACTAACAACACATAACAGAGTAGGACAGCGAGAAGCATTGCCACATCTTGAGAACACCTTCCCCCCACCCCTCCCTTCTTCCCGGGCTCAGCTCTGCTCCTGATATCTCTGCCTCCTCCCCCAGTGGCGCAGGGGCAGGGAATGGGGGGTGCAGTCAGCGATGCCATTTCCTTCATCTTCGGTGAGGGGAGTGTCCGGAACTTGTTCCTCCTGCTCCAGCGTGGTCCCCCTCTCACAGGAGACAGTCCTCCACAAACTTCCTCTGACTTGAATTCCTCCCACGGGCCGCAGCGTTCCCCACATTGCTCCATCATGGGTCACCAACTTCCTCCGACTGGATTCCCTCCCACGGCTGCAGCCCTTCCCGAGCTGCTCCGGCGTGGGACTCCCGCGCATGCTGCAATCCTCCCAGCACTGAATTACAGCAGCGGGGCTGCCTTTTCCCATGAGACCCCGGCCTTCTTTGGGCACAGAACCTTGATCATCTGAGCAGGAGCAACAGGCCACAAATCAGTGTCTGCTCCACCGTAGCTCTCCATGGGTGGCAGGGGGGGCCGCCCTGCTGTCTCACCACAGGATACAGGGGGGTCTCTGCTCTGGCACACCTCCCCCCTCCTTTCTTCCTCCGTTCCTCCACTGACCTTGGTGTTCACGCAGCTGCAGCAACTCCTCCTCACAAGTCCCCCTGCACATCACCACGTCCCTTTTTAAATACGTTATCGCAGAGGTGCAGCTGACTGGAGCAGTTTTCCAAACAGAAGTGGAGCTGATGTGGAGCTGGGGGAGCTTCGAGAAGCTTCTGCCCCGATAGCCCCCTCCCCTGCCACCAAAAAACTCCACCACTCACTCAACCCAGAACAACTTCTCAGCACAAGTGTACAATGCAAGGGCTAAAATTAAGGGGACAATTTCAAACAGAGTTTCCTAAGGGCTTGTCTACACACAAAAGTAACTTCAGAATAAAATAGGGTTTGAACTACAGTGAAAGAGCATCTAACTATGTTTTATCATGATCAGCTCTGAAAGCAGATGTAGCTATTTCAGAAAGAAAGGGCTCTTCATCCAGGATACAAGTGTCAACACATTTATTCTAGGACATCCAAGCAAGCCCTGGCTTGCAGAAATGCATGAAGAAAAACAAGATCTGAATAACTAAATCCTCTAGAAAAACATCTGAAAACAGTGAAATAATTTTAATTTTATATCTATCTCATATCTTTGTTTGAATGTCCGCTGAAACAAGAAGTTAGATTGAAAGCACTAATCACGAAAGGGAACCTCTGGAAACAAACTCCTTCCTTTTTTAAAATCTAGTTTCAGTTGAAAAGCAAGCTTCTTGTGGTCTTTGAGAAATGTCCTCTTCCTCTCCCACGCCTGCCTGATGAGATACACCAGAATTGTTTTCCTGAAAAAAAATTCACTGTGGCTGCCCTTAGCCCTACCACTCATTTTCATAGCCCCAGGGAAGTTGCTTTGGGGGATGCTTTCTGCACTTCTTGCGAGGCCCCTCAGCTCTGAATCTTGGGGATCCTGTCAGCTTTTCCAGCAACACTTCCCACACAGACATAGTGGGACAGAAGCGGTCTTTCAGACACATGCTTGCAGAGCAATGGGGCTCTGTGCTCCCATCTGCACCACCTTCTCCAAATTCTGCCCGCTTCTGTCACGCTGGGAAGTTTAGACATGTTATCTCTTGCCCTCAAGTAGATATAAATACAAGCACAGTGTTAGACAAATTAAGATTGATACCTCATGACTCTTTATTTTGGGTCTCCATAACTCACTTCTATGGCTGGGCAGGTAGTATCACGCTCCCCTTTAATCATCTCTGATTAATGGAGCTTCCATAATGAAAAGGATGGTTTTTTTTTCTATAGGTTCATGCTGACATTCAGTAAAATACCAAACAGGAACCTCATTTGGGATTCCCACAGAATCTTATTTCAAATGATGCCCTGGAAAACTTGGAAATAGTAATTAACTGGAGGGGATGAAGGCAGATCAGAGGTGAGGTGCTGATCCCCCAGACAGGACTGGTGTGTGGCGCCAGAAGAGCCAGCGCAGTGACAGCAATGATCCTCTGATGCCAGAAAGGAACTCAGAAAAGAGAGAAAAAAAAAAAAAAAAAAAAAAAAAAAAGAGAAGGTAAAACTAGAAAATAAAGATGATTAAAGAGGACCACCAGACCAGATGGTGTTTGCCTTCAGCTGATATCATGAATTCGTATTTTTGCAGACTATGTAAACATAGTCTGGAGTGAACGCGAGCCAAGAGGTCTGTATGAGGTTTATTGTTCCTTTAGGGTTTTGCCCTTTGTTTTTTTTTTTTTCTTTATTGTAAAGAGATGCCAAAAAGGACATTTGAGATTTGTTTTTTTCCCCAGAAGCAGACAGAAGTAGCACTTCCCACCCTGAAACTTACTGCCTCCAGCAGGTATGGACTCATACCCCACACAGCACACGGCTGGAAGCAAGCCCACCAGCAAGTTCTGCAGCAGCACATACCCCTGACCCACAGCATCCAGAAGGCAGCCTGCAAAGAGCTAGTAACAGCTAGATAATAGGTGCATGCCAAGGAGGGAAATGCCTGTAATCTTTCAGAATGAGTCACAGTTCACACGGCTGAGTAACGTTTGCAATGACAGGAATGTTGCCATTTCAACAGGCTTGAAAGCTGAAATGAAAATGAAGACTGACAATCATTTTCAGGAAAAAAAAAGGAAAAAAAAAAAAAAGAAAAAAAAAAAAAAAAAAAAAAAAACGAAAAATGAAAAAAAAAAAAACAAACAAACCTACCCAGACACCTAAACATCTGTGCCCAGTTATCCTGAAATCTATTTGTGTGAGAAGTAGCTCATTAAGTAGGGGAATTGCAGGGTGGCCATTGTGACACCATTCAGCAAGAATTCCCTCTGCACAGAGTTGACAGGGAAGAAAAAGAAAAAAAAAAAAATCCCTATAATTAACCACATGAATGAGGCTCTTTTTCAGCAGAGTGCAGTATCAAAGAGCCTCAGGTTGTTAAAATCTTAAAGATGACAAACTGCCTTTCCACTGTCTCTAAAAATGTATCAGTAAACACATGGCTATGAAGATAAAAATCCCAGTGACTTAATGATGCTATTTCACTTAAAAAAATAATAATAAAAGGAAAAAAGTAAAAGAAAGATATCAACCTTCTGCATAGTTCTTTAAATTTAGGAGGGCTAAACAAATGCTACTTTTGTGACAGATACCAGACCTGAGCTCCTGGTTTGACAGCAATGCTTTTGAATGGCTTCTCAAACTTCACACTTGGTCCCTGGCTCCTTACTAAAGAGTAACCCATTCCTATTCACTAAAAAATATGTTAGGGATGTCTGTTCCTAACACCTACTAAACTAAACAACCCTATGGGGCACTTCAATAGCTGCATTACAATAAGATTCACAGACAATGAATGGGGGTGAAAATCCAGTACCTCTCCTAGACCACATACACCCTCCCAGCAGGTAACTCACTGGTGTGGATGATGCAGCATGAGTATGTTCAGGACTCACAAAATAACCTCCTGAAGGAGCCATTCCCTATGTACATCGGTAGCCTTTGTTTATAGTTTTTCAGGTAATTTTCAGCCCATTCCATAGTGTTTCCATGTAAGCCTTCTCAAATAAACTCTGTGGATAAAATGCACTCAATCCCTGTGAACTGCTTTGTGAAAATCACTTTTATTCCTGATAAATACATATTCCTTATGTCAAGGAGTTTTTCTCGCTCTAGACTTGGCAATTTTATTTCCTCAAAGTGAACCTGACTGGATTTTCTCACTTGTCTCACAGAAACCTCTAGAGCAAACAACCGAGAGCAGGTCCCTGTGGCTGCTGTACAAACAGGCTGAGGAACAGCTCCTTTCACAGAGGGCTTCTACAGCAAGTACACAAGGGGAGCCGAGGAAGTATTACGGTCCATATTAAGCAGCTTTGGATATGAATTTCAGACAGACCTCCCCAAGGTCACCCAGAAGGAGCCAGAAAACCAGTTCAGTCATCCTGCATCTCTGGCTATCACCAGCAGTGTACTATCTCCCTACAGTAAGGATGCATCTAACAAGACACCACGATGGTGTCTCCCAAACACCAATGTATCCTGGTTCCACAACATAAAGAGATGAAAGTACTTAGAAAGTTACAATGCCACTTAAAAAAAAAATCCTACTGAATATCCTGAAGTATCCCTACATTTACACTGTTTCACTTATAGACACCTGAAATTAGCATTGTAAGAAAAATCAGTCCTCAGTAAGAAGACTGGCAGTGGTCACACTCACTTCAGCTACCTCAGAAGTGTAATGGATATCTAGAAAGTGCTATCCAGAGTGACGTCTAATTTTTTACCAGATGAGATAACCACAGAGCAAAGAAAATCTTGAAACAATGCCATTACTTTGTTAGGAAAACTAGGACTCATTTGAAGGTCTGATTTTTTTTCCAGGTATTCCACACTTAAGGATAAGGACTGATGTTTCCATCAGACTAATGACATTAATGCACAGTGACTTATCTCTGGAGACCACTTCTTTCTAGATTTTTCTCCCTCATCAACCATCTATGCTAGTCATTTGATAATCCCTTAATAATCCCACAGATTACATATGGCATAATTTCTCAAAAAAATCTGAGATCATAATATAAAGTTTAAATTAACATGCTCACAGGGCTCATGTAGTGGTTTGGGCACAGAGGTGGTTCTGACTTAGGGGGGAGCTCCGAGAA